AAAAAAAGAGTAAGAGAAGAAGAAAAAAAAAAAAGAGAAAAAAAAAAGAAAAAAAAAGAAGAGAAGAAGAGAAAAAAGAAAAGAGAAGAAGAGTAAGAAGAGTAAAAAAGAGAGTAAGAGAAGAAGAGAAAAAAGAGTAAGTAAGAGAAGAAAAAAGAGTAAGAGAAGAAGAGAGAAAAAAAGTAAGAGAAGAGAAAAAAAGAGTAAGTAAAAGAAAAAAGAGTAAGTAAGAGAAGAAGAGAAAAAAGAGTAAGAGAAGAGAAAAAAAAAGAGTAAGAGAAGAAAAAAAAGTAAGAGAAGAGAAAAAAGTAAGAGAAGAGAAAAAAGTAAGAGAAGAAGAGAAAAAAAGTAAGAGAAGAAGAGAAAAAGAGTAAGAGGAGAAAAAAAAGAGTAAGAGAAGAAAAAAAAGAGTAAGAGAAGAAGAGAAAAAAAGAGTAAGAGAAGAAGAGAAAAAAAAGAGTAAGAGAAGAAGAGAAAAAAAAAGAGTAAGAGAAGAAGAGAAAAAAAAAAGAGTAAGAGAAGAAGAGAAAAAAAAAAAGAGTAAGAGAAGAAGAGAAAAAAAAAGAGTAAGAGAAGAAGAAAAAAAGAGTAAGAGAAGAAAGAGAAAAAGAAGTAAGAGAAGAAGAGAAAAAGAAGTAAGAGAAGAAAGAGAAAAAGAAGTAAGAGAAGAGAAAAAGAAGTAAGAGAAGAAAGAGAAAAAGAAGTAAGAGAAGAAAGAGAAAAAGAAGTAAGAGAAGAGAAAAAGAAGTAAGAGAAGAAAGAGAAAAAGAAGTAAGAGAAGAGAAAAAGAAAAAAAAGAGTAAAAGAGAAAAAGAAGTAAGAGAAGAAGAGAAAAAGAGTAAGAGAAGAAGAGAAAAGAAAGTAAGAAAAAGAAAAAGAGAAGAAAAAAAGAGTAAGAGAAGAAGAGAAAAAGTAAGAGAAGAAGAGAAAAAAAAAGAGAAAGAAAAGAAGAGAAGAGAAAAAGAAGAGAAGAGAAAAAGAAGAGAAGAGAAAAAGAAGAGAAGAGAAAAAGTAAGAGAAGAGAAAAAGAAGTAAGAGAAGAAAGAGAAAAAGAAGTAAGAGAAGAGAAAATGATGTAAGAGAAGAGAAAAAGAAGTAAGAGAAGAGAAAAAGTAAGAGAAGAGAAAAAAGAGAAGAGAAAAAGAAGAGAAGAGAAAAAAGAAGAAAAAAAAGAAGAGAAGAGAAAAAAGAGAAGAAAAGAAAAGAAGAAGAGAAGAAGAGAAAAAGTAAAGAAGAAGAAAAAAGAAGAGAAGAAGAGAAAAAGAAGAAGAAGAAAAAAAAAGAGTAAAAGAGAAGAAGAGAAAAAAAGAGAAGAAGAGAAAAAGAAAGAGAAAAAAGAGTAAGAGAAGAAGAGAAAAAGTAAGAGAAGAGGAGAAAAGAAAGAGAAGAGAAAAAGAAGAGAAGAGAAAAAAAGTAAGAGAAGAAGAGAAAAAAAGTAAGAGAAGAAGAGAAAAAAAGTAAGAGAAGAAGAGAAAAAAAGTAAGAGAAGAAGAGAAAAAAAGAGTAAGTAAGAGAAGAAAAAGAGTAAGAGAAGAAGAGAAAAAAGTAAGAGAAGAAGAGAAAAAAAAGAGTATGGTAAGAGAAAAAAGAGAGAGAAAAAAAAAAAGAGTAAGAGAAAAAAAAAAGAGTAAGAGTATGTAAGAGAAAAAAAAGAGTATGTAAGAGAAAAAAAAGAGTATGTAAGAGAAAAAAAAGAGTAAGAGAAAAAAAAGAGTAAGAGAAAAAAGAGTAAGAGAAGAAGAGAAAAAAAAGAGTAAGAGAAGAAGAGAAAAAAAAGAGTAAGAGAAGAAGAGAAAAAAAGAGTAAGAGAAGAGAAAAAAAGAGTAAGAGAAGAGAAAAAAGAGTAAGAGAAGAGAAAAAAAAAAAGAAAAAAGAAAAAAAAGAGTAAGAGAAGAAGAGAAAAAAGAGAAAGAGAAGAAGAAAAAAAAAGAGTAAGAGAAGAAGAGAAAAAAAAAAAGAGAGAAGAAAAAAAGAGTAAGAGAAGAAGAAAAAAAGAGAAGAGAAAGAAGAAGAAAAAAGTAAGAGAAGAAGAGAAAAAAAAAGAAGAAGAGAAAAAGAGTAAGAGAAGAAGAGAAAAAGAGTAAGAGAAGAAGAGAAAAAAAGAGTAAGAGAAGAAGAAGAAAAAAAGAAGAAGAGTAAGAAGAAGAGTAAAAAGAAAAAAGAGTAAAAAAAAGAGAAAAAAAAAAAAAGAAGAGAAGAAGAGAAAAAAAAGAGTAAGAGAAGAAGAGAAAAAAAAGAGTAAGAGAAGAAGAGAAAAAAAAGAGTAAGAGAAGAAGAGAAAAAAAAGAGTAAGAGAAGAAGAGAAAAAAAAGAGAAAGAGAAGAAGAAAAGAAAGAGAAAGAGAAGAAGAGGAGAAAGAGAAAGAGAAGAAGAGGAAAAAAAGAAAGAGAAAGAGAAGAAGAGAAAAAAAAGAAAGAGAAGAAGAGAAAAAAAGAGAAAGATAGTTGATAAGAATTTTTCTAAGTGGGGGTGAAAAACTGTCATGAATTTCAGAATCCATTAACTAGTGATGTATCAATTTGACACTGTATCAGAATTATAAATGACCCCACACCTTCTGGACACTTTTCACATCATTAGTTCTGACAAGTGGCTGAGGCTTGAGGCTCGTCTAAAAATGCTCTTCAACCAAAAAAACTATCCCCACCTCCAAATCATTTCTATTCATTTTAAAGACTGGGCTTGTCTATTTAAGTATTTACCATTTTTCTAACGATTCTATTAGATTTCTAATTGGGAATAACAAATAATTTTGTTCGTTGATTATTCATTCAAAATTACGAACAGCAACTTTTGACAGTCTAATGAAAAGACAACTCTTAAAAAGAGATTCATGAATTATCTCCCTTACATTGACGGACCAACGAGTCTTTTCCTTCTATGAGTTCACATTAAAAATTATCTTCCTAAAACTGTGGGCCAAAATCCCCCAGCCATTGTATAATGTCTTAGTTATTAATCAAGCCAAATAAGTCCAACGTCTAATTTTAATATGCTCTCTATTTCATTAAAAAAAAAAAAAAAAAAAAAAGTAATGATGTGTTTCCTTATTCAGTTTGACGAAAACTTCAGTATTGTTTTAAGAAGATACAACCACAGAAAATGCGATACCTCAGGTTTAAAATGAATTTTTAAAAATGAAAAATCTTTCTTGAAGCTTTTATTTTAGTGTTAATTTCAAGCTAATGATTAAATTTAATATTTCCAATAAGAAAAATACATTTTGCTGTATTTCAAAAACTAATTTAAATTGACTGGAAGAATTTTTTTTTTTTGAAATCATCTTTCATTGCAACAAAAATCAGCATATTTTATACACATACAAAATATTTTAAATTCTTTTAAAAAAATATTAGAGTTTGATGATCTGTATTAAGCTTTTCTATTTATGATTAGTAAATATAGTTTTCACTTAATAATATCATCTAAATGGGTGAAATAAATACAAGAATTTGAAAAGATGCAAAAACTTAAATTATTCTAAATAAAATTTTAAAAAACTGAAAATACTTGTAAAAATTCATTATTCATCAAAGAAAATTTTTTTCTTAAGACAATAGTGTCCTTAATATATCTTATTCATAAAAAACAAAAGCTTTTCTATTTTTTTTATTTTTACGATTCAGAGAAGATTTTCAGTAAATGGTGTTTCCGTTTGACAAAAACAAAAAATGATTTAAATTCTCTAAAGGGGGTGGATTTTTTATTTCTTGAAATTTCATGAATTCAGTAAATGGGGTAACAGATGTATAAAAAAAAAAAAAAAAAAAAATTATCAAGATTTTCTAAAAGGAAAAAAATTGTCAAAATTAGTTCATTTGTCAAAACCCTGAAAATTTCATTAAAATCTGACAATTATTTAATTTTTGCAAGAATTTCCAAAACAATGTTTCCTATACTAAACTTTGGCCCAGCCACTGATGCAAGAAAAACAATACTTTTAACCAAAATTTCGATTGTGCTAGAAAGGATTAAAAAAAAATTAATAAAATAATCCAAAAATACTTTTTTTTTTTTTTTTTGGAGGTACTTAGTTCTAAAAGATGAAGTTCAGGTAATTGTAAACTTTGCTAGACACAAGAAAAAAAAAGTACTAAACTGTTACTTATTATCTGTCTTCCTGTATGGCATTGAGTGCTTGATAATCTCCTCAAAGATGAAGAGACTTGCAACAACAGAATGTGGTTCTACAGAAGGATGCTGAGAATACCATGGACCAGACATGTGAAAAATGACAAAGTTTTAGAGAAAATGGAAACAAAAAGGAAACTTATACTTAATATCAGTTGAAATTTCTAGGGCTCATAATGAAGAAAGACAGCTTGGAAAATATGATACTCACAGGACAGAGGAAAACAATGCATAAGTTATTTAATGAGCTTGAGTGAACGGCTGGTGGAACAGGGTTTAGGAGAAATAGAAAAAAGACAAAATTTATTAAGAGCTACAAAGGACAGGAAGTTGTGGAGAACCATAATCGCCTATGTTCTGAAGGGGATGTGACATATAAAGAATAATAATAATATCATGTGTTTACTTTAACGTTAAAATAAAAAAAATAAAAACTAATTTGAACAATTTTTGAGGGAAGCAATTATTGAAACAGATCTTCAAAGAATCACAAATTTAACAAAATTTTATAGTTGAACATTGTGTTTAACAATAGACTGACCACAAGTACAATGGGGGTGAGGAAAATCAAAGGAGGAATATGGCTTCTCCGGAGTTTAATACTATTTACATGTTGACTAAATAATAAACAAATGTCACACTGTCCTGGATATGACAAACTACATCCGCGTCCTAGATAAGACAATAAATTACATCCAGCGTCCTGAGTAAGACGATAAACTACGTCCAACAGCAAGGCCTTTGATCAGGAGGTTTTGAGGAGTGTAGAACCACCTCTTAATTGCTGGTGTTCCTAGGTCCACCCTGACCTAGGGTTGTAGCACCTGTTAGGGTCCCAACTATGGGCAAATATCTGCTCCCAAACTGGGGTCAAAAGACTATGAAAGTGTAAAAATAGGTTTAATATCAGCAATAAATTTTTTTGAGGAAAAATTATTACCAGCAATAAATTTTTTGAGGAAAATTATTACCAGCAATACATTTTTGAAGGAAAAAGTATTACCAGCAATACATTTTTGAAGGAAAAAGTATTACCAGCAATACATTTTTGAAAAAAATATTACCAACAATAAAAATTTTGTCGGCATTAAATAACCCATTGAGGTTGATATGCCATTAAACAAACCAAACCAAATGTCACACACACTTACAATATGTGCAGAGGTATAATGAAACCAGCTCAGAATGAAAAATTGGTAAGTTTGAATTCCGCTTGAATTTGTTACTATTGTATCGTCGAGGTGAATGATACACAGAGAAGAATTAGTGCTTAATATATTTATTCAGTACCAGTATCCGGTGCTAACTGATACATACAAAAAACACAGAATAAGTTACAAAACAATTAACAAGACAACCTACAAGGAATAAAGGAGGGTCAAATGCTGTATAGCCAAACAAAGTAAGATCAGTCTGAATATTTATCAGCTTAGTATCAACTCATTAATCAACTGTTGAAATCCTTAATCATAGACTAAGGCTATGAGTCAGGCAGTCTACTAGAATACTGAAGGGGTGTTAGTTACCCTACAACTGTTACATTTACTTGGGAGAAAATACCCTTGGCAAATGTATGATTCCATCCTTTTTGCCTCAACTATGGGACTTGTATCAAGAAGGAAAAAAAGAAAATTTTATAATCCAAAATATGTTCTCATCTTAAGTAACCCATAACCCACAAAGGGTTGAAAACCCGTAAATAACTTTTGTTTAATTCAACTGATAGGAACTGTTGCACATTCAGATCAAAATTGCGGATAAGCCAGCCAACCTTCATGTTTCTGTTTTACTCAATTAATTTTGACCATCTCTGTCAATATCAAGATCTGGGGCTTTTCAGGATAGTAGACGAGATTTTTAAAGTGCCAGAATATAGCCAACAAAATCTTGTCTACATGTATTCTTTGTTTATGATGAGATGGCCAAATGCCAATGGTAATATTAGCTATTTTCTTATAAGGAAACATTCAGCATTCACTGACTGAGCGACCAGTCCTACTCTCGATTGAAATTTATAAAATCTTTCTCTTAAAAACAATTTCTTTTAAAAAATGTGTTAAATTTTTCAAATACTTCTGTAGAGAAGACAAACTGAATAAAATAGACGATCAGAAAATAGTACTTAGATATATTTTAAGAACTTTAACACATTGCCAACATTAAGAACAAAAACACACACTTTTGAATTTCATGTAACTGCACAACATTTCATTTATGTTTATCATCACTCGTCAAATGACTTGACAAATCACTTGTCAAATGAAGAAACACAATGGCAAGGACTAAGTACTATTTTCAAATTCTCTATTTTATTTGTCATCTCTGCAGATTTATTCTGAGGACATACACACACATATATATATATATATATATATATATATATATATATATGTATGTATGTATAATACATATACATGCTTGTACATATATTAGAGTCTACATAGAGTCTTTTTATTGTATTTTCTTTGTATGTATACTTAGGTAAATATGTGTATGACAATTACTAGTGTCTGAAGCCATGTTGGATTTATTTTTCTTCAAAATTATATCTCTTATTCTTGGAACGTGATGGTAAACTAATTTATTTACAAGTTTTGTAGAAAGAGTCTTAGAGGGCAGGATTAGGAATTTTGTGTTGTCAAAAGGTGTCTTCATTGTATTTTAGCAAATATGTAAAAGAAATAAAAGAGATAAGAGAAAGGAAAAAGAAAAGGAGAAAGGAAAAAAAGAAAAGGAAAAAGAAAAGGAGAAAGGAAAAGAAAAGGAGAAAGGAAAAAGAAAAGGAGAAAGGAAAAGGAAAAGAAAAAGGAAAGAAAGGAAAAGAAAAGGAGAAAGGAAAAAAGAAAAGGAAAAAGGAAAAAAAAGGAGAAAGGAAAAGAAAAGGAGAAAGGAAAAAAGAAAAGGAGAAAGGAAAAAAAAGAAAAGGAGAAAGGAAAAGAAAAGGAAAAGGAAAAGAAAAGGAGAAAGGAAAGGAAAAAGAAAAGGAGAAAGGAAAAGAAAAGGAGGGAAAAGAAAAGGAGAAAGGAAAAAAAAAGGAAAGAAAAGAAAAGGAAAAAAAAAGAAAAGGAGAAAGGAAAAGAAAAGGAAAAGGAAAAGAAAAGGAGAAAGGAAAAGAAAAGAAAAAGGAAAAGAAAAGGAGGAAAAGAAAAGGAGAAAGGAAAAGAAAAGGAGAAAGGAAAAAGGAAAAGGAAAAAAAGGAAAAGGAAAAGAAAGGAGAAAAGGGAAAAAGAAAAGGAGAAAGGAAAAAGAAAAGGAGAAAGGAAAAAGAAAAGAAGAAAGGAAAAAGAAAAGGAGAAAGGAAAAAGAAAAGGAGAAAGGAAAAAGAAAAGGAGAAAGGAAAAAGAAAAGGAGAAAGGAAAAAAAAAGGAA